TATTATATATATATATATATATATATATAATATTAATTTAGTGTATGTATGAAATAATGAAGGTAGGTGACACTGAAAGCCACAGTTATTATACATCTCTGAGAAGAACATAAACTTCTGTCACGTTCACGTCCACTGTCAACGTTCGGAGGCACCTCTAAATGATAACAGGGTGGTGAGCACATTGTTACTAACAGGATAACAACTAACGATTTGCATTTGCGCTATCACTGACCAATGTTCCTAGAGCAAGGCCATATGAATTTTTGTTTGGGTCCCTTGTATCGCAGCCAATTGATGATCGTCCACACTTCGCGCAGGGACATTGTAAGGCAAACTGAGTCAGATGATGAACTCCTATCAAATTTTTAGGTTTTCATGCCTGGAAAAGCGAAGGTCCACGAACAAATTTTCATGTGGTCTTTGTCTCTAAGAGAACGTTCAAAACCAATGAACAAATAATGCAATTGATCTCATGTGGGTATGCAGGGTAAATCCTAACCCGTGCCACGTGCTCACTGTATAGGAATTAGCTCGCATGTTCACTCATGTGTTGACTATGCGTTCAGGTTATGTGATGATACATGTAAGCTGTCAGCCCATGAATTCCTGGTGAAAATCTGGTGGCGTCTCACTCACTATTATAAACCGTGTAAAGTTGCTGTCTCCCTACTGTGCTCCAAAGTCCGGTGAACGTCACGCTTCCTTCCGCACTGTGCTGTACCGGTGTAGATGATTGCTCTGCATACCAAACCCTCGTCCCCTTTCAACGTATGACGACTTGCGAAAAGTGCCGTCGAGAGTAGCGTCGCAGTAATACGTGCGGTGTGATGTGGAGCGGCGTCGCAGTAAAAACTGCGCCGTACCGTGGTGCGCGCAAGTCGGTCGTCTTCGGAGCATCGCTGACGAGCTGTCTCGTGCCACAGGTGCGCTGCCGATCTGTCGCGAGGACGAGTTTCAGTGTGAGCGCGACGGCGCCTGCATTGCTGAGAACAAGGTGTGCGACGGACATCGTGACTGCCAGGACGCGTCCGACGAGGACCCGCAGAAGTGCCGTAAGTGCTGCGAGAACCGCTAATTATCTCTAAGAATCCCGCGCCGCACCGCGTCGTCGTTGTCGCTTACAATATTGTACGTGCGGAATAATGCTGGAGCGCGTTAGGGTGGTATGCGTATAGAAGTGTGTCGTAGGGCGGCGGCTCTTTAGCTCCTCTGCTGGTCTAGACGCTTGTGACAAGCGTTTCGTAACGTTTTCTCTGGAACAAATTCTGGTGTGTGGTTTGGCGCAACAGCCGATTGTTGAAGCATCCAGTGGACTATCACCTCAATATTCACCAATATTCCTTAGTCTAGTATTGTTGCTGGTAACCTCTTGCGTGTAGTAGTGGTAGGCAGGTCTTGTTTATGTGGTCAGTAACCCGATCACCGGTCTTTTGTTTTTGGTTTACATTTTTTGACCACCGTATGCCATCAGAAACGTAGCGTTGAGGTTCGTCCAATGCCTCAAATGGCTGTTGCGTTGGATGGTGTATTTTTTTATATCTGTAATATGAAAATATGATATTGTGTGATACACAAGAATTGTTGTCATCCAACTGCCATGATGCATTTCGTTTTACAATCATTTAGAATTTTTCCACAAGTCATTGCAGTTTTTGCTTGTAGTGTTCTCATTTTTTCTCTCTGAATACATTTAGTGCACACTGACTAAAATCTGATGGCATAAATCTCAGTTTCGTTTCTGTTTTTTTGTGTGTAACCATAGCAATTAATTGTGATTATCAAGTGGTCTTGACCAAACGAGCTTAACTTTACGTTCCAAACTTACACATATGATTTACGGCTATAGTCCCCCAACATCCTCGTTCTTGGACTACTGAACTGAAAGGGGTGAATCTATAAACATCCCATGTTCTTTAGACAGTTTGCTAGGAACACTATTTTTTAAATTTTTTAACGTCCAGATTTTACTAGATCTTATTTTACTGGACTATTTGGTGCACATGCATTATTCGACCATCATTGTCAATATAAATTGCATGCATTTTACTCTTTGTTTACGTTGATATGTTTCTGTCATTTATTTATCTTTGTCTGTCACCATGTTATTAAACAGCTGGCTATAGTATCGCCGAGTTAAGCATGTGTGGAGAGGCGTTACCACTGATTGACCGACTAACCAGGAAGCCCAAGATTTGCTCCTCCAGGAACCCGTGTCCCAGTGGGTACACGTGTAACACTGGCAGGCAGGACGCGCCTGGTATCTGCTGTCGTGGCACGGGTATTACATTCTCCACAATCTATAGAATATATGAAGTCCACAATCATCATTATCAGACTTTGATAAGCAACGTTAAAACTAATTAAAACGAGAAGCTTTTTCACGAACTGTTCGACACGATACTCTCTCATGATCACTTGTTCGCTTCTTACTTTGTCGCTCGCTGCAGGGCTTGCGCGCTTGCTCGCTCACTCTTCTACTCTGTCATCTTTCTGCTACATTCTCGTCCCATCTCTCTGCGTCCCATCCCAAAGGCGTCGGCGCCACCTGCCCCGGTGGCTTCTTCCGCTGCACCCATGGTGCACAGTGCGTTGATCCCAGGCGACAGTGCGACGGCAGAAACGACTGCGTCGATGGATCTGATGAACAGAGATGCACGTCAGGTAGGCAGACGCTGTGAGCATGGGTGCGTGGATCGAAGCAGTGGGCATGTCAGCGCGAGCCGTTACACGAGTCCTGCGGCTGCCTGCGACTCACGGCTGTCGTTAACCCGCGCCCACTCGCTGCAGTGTCTCTCACCATGGTTGAACACCACTGTGACTGTACGCGTGCTGTGCATTGTATGCTCTAATACATGTAGCTGCTTCCGCCCGACGTGTACGTGAATTGTGTGCACCATGGTTAACGTCCGATCACCAGTATCGTCTTCAACTACCGGCGTCTTGGATGGAGCACCAGAAAACAGGCTTTTTATTTGCGATCACCAGGCTACCGTTACTACTGCTGTTCGTCTGTCTGTACTACTACTGCTGCTGCTGCTGCTCACACAACTACCTGCTACCTTGCCTACTTATTGTTGATCTTCTTCAGACTCTTCTGCTTTTGATCAGTCAGATCTGCTTGCTAACATTAGGAAGGGCAACACTTGTCTCGTTGGCGCGTATGTACTAGTCTGACTGTTAGCAGCAGCAGGCTGGTTTCGTTGGTTACTTGGGATTGTCGGCGTGCATCGTGGCTGCTGTTCAGCTCGTCTCACTGTCGTTCTTTCCTTCCCACTGACGACGGAATTTTTCGTAAAGTTGAGAAGCGTCTTCATGTACTTACGTATCGTCAATGTTTCTTTCAAAGCTCACTTCTGAAATCGCATTGTCGTCGGTCTTACGTAGCGTGCCGTCATGTGCTGTAAGTGATGAGCATCATCTGTATGTTTGCCTCCACGTAGCTCAAGGCCGTACGCAGGAAATTTTCTGTAGGGGGGCAAAGGTACTCCCCATGCCCCCTGTGCCCTAAAGTTTCGCAATTTCACATTTCTTTATTTAAAGTGTAATATTTCTTTGATGATTTACGATAACCTTTTGTCACATTTCAATTTTATTTCTAAAAGTGTACAGCATTCGTCCCATTAAAAGGCATAATCTGAAAATCTCTAGGTGGGCAACTGCCCCTGCTGCCCCCCTGCTGCGTACGGCCCTGACGCAGCTCTAAATTTATAACACGTTTAACCGTTTCTGTTGTTTTTTTGTATGCAGTTGTGCATCAGCTATCGCTTACGCGTCCACGCATTCCTGTCAGGGGTAAACATGAGGGCTTAACTCCTTCCACGAACACGCTTGCACCTGTGGTTTGCTTCATTGATCCCGATTCCTTCCTGTTTGCAGGTGCGAGAGGCTGCGGGGCAGGAGAGTTCCGCTGTCAGGACGGATCGTGTATCGATGACAAGAGCCGCTGCAACGGAGAGCAGGACTGCCGCGATGGATCTGATGAGCGGGGATGCACAGGTGCAGCATAAACGAGGGGACGCGAGAGGTGACGCGTCTGTGCAGCTTTGCCCCGAGAGATGGCCGAGTCGAGATGGCGCTGACCATTCGTGGGACTCGTGAATGCTTTACGCGGCCCATACACGCACAATATCATTGACAATAATATTGATGCAATATTATTGACAAGAAATTCTGTTGGCCACCAACGGCACAATAATATTGTGCAATATTGTCATTTGTGCTCTGATGCTGAAGGTGAACAGAGAGATCTGGATAATGAGACAATGAGTGGACAATGAGAACCTTCAATAAATATCTACTGGGTTTTAATTCCGTCAGAACATTGCCCAAGTCCAAAATTTTCCTTCAATATTGCATACTAACGATCAATAATATTGTCAAATTTCATTATTGACAATATTATTGTCAATAATATTGTGCGTGCATGGGCCGCTTTAAGCATTTTTTACTGGATGTGTTATGAAGACGGTTAATTCCCACAAACCCATGTCAAACAATCAGGAAGAGATCTCTGATGGGTGTTCAGCTTAGTGTTGACGTTGGTATGTTTTGCCAAGGTTGACCTTACCATTGTTGACCTTGTCAGAGTTTACCATGCTAATGTTGACTTTGCCAGAGTTGACCACGCTAATGTTGACTTGGTCAACACTAATGTTGACGTTGTCAGAGTTGACCATGCACACTAATGTTGACCTTGCTGAAATTGACATCTCCTAATATTGATTACTAATGTTGAGCACACTGACGCTGACTATGCTGATGTTGGCCCAACACTGACTACATGCTAGCACTGAGTATACCGACATTGACTGCTTCGTGATGTTTCAGCCGGCTGCCAGACCAGTGAATGGCAGTGTCTGGATGGGCAGTGCATAGATGAACGCAGGAAGTGTGACGGAAGGGCGGACTGTAGTGATGGCTCTGACGAACTGGATTGTGAAGGTAACCCGTTTGTTCAGTGCAGCCTGTACAATCGCCTACCGTGTACCACATTTCATGCAGACTCAGGAGTATATCTCATAACTGTATGAGTGAGTGTTCAACCCTGTGAGCATGTTTAGAAGATTTTATGTTCAGGACAGACATAAGGGTGTGTGCATGCATGTGTATGTGTGTAAGTCATTGAAGATATCATTGATCTATCGACAAAAACATTGAAGAAACAGTGAAATTAAGTTTTCAGTTGCAATTATGATGAGACTGGCTGTTGTGGTAGGTAAGGTTGAAGTGTCTGAATGATTTTATCCTCCCTGTGAAACCCACAGAATGCCTTACCACAGCTTTTCCCAGAGGTTACTGTGAAGGTTGAAATATTTTGCACACTGGTATACATGCGAGTGTTTCAAAGTTTTTCGTTATAATCAGTTCGTTTCAGTGAAAGCCTTTATGCTTTCTAGTAATTGAACCAATCTTAGACTGTTACCAAGGTATGGGTTTATCTTAAAGGTTGATGATGTCATAGAGCACCATGGCCTTGTCTATGATAGCCCATATTCATCTGTCAGCAGTTTATGATTGATTGCTAACATGAACCTATTGATAATATAATATACATAGGTTTATGTGCTAGAGCATGGTAGAACTTTGTGCGTCATCCATCCATTCTCCCCTACTCTCAGAACCCGCCCCAGCTTCCTGCCCTACTGGCTACTGGCTGTGTCATGATGGAGAGTGCATAGATTCACGCAGGAAATGCGATGGCAGACCAGACTGTGGTGATGCTTCAGATGAAGAAGGTTGTGATGACGATAAAGAAGGTAGGCTCTCCCAGTCTATGCTACAGCGTATGTACTGTGCACATGTATATTTATGGGCTGTGTTGCTGGCGTTGTTGTAGGTAACTGTTTTATGTTACTATATAGCATATTATATAGAATTACATCGATTGATGCCTATTATTTCCAGTTCCTCTGTTTGGATATTATGCATGCTTATTTTCAATCATGCCATATATCTATCAAGTCGATTACACCATTCAATAGTAATCAATCATTGACTAGCTGCAAGGAATTTGTTTGCCCTAAAGGGTGATAGTGCTATAGAGCAGTACCACATCATTGGTATGGCAGCCCTTAGCAGTGTATGATTGATACTAACATGAACCTGTGGATATATAATATACATAGGTTTATGTACTAGAGCATGGTAGAACTTTGTACATCATGCATCCATTCTCCCCTACCCTCAGAACCCACCCCAGCTGCCTGCCCTTCTGGGTACTGGCAGTGTCATGATGGACAGTGCATAGATGCACGCAGGAAATGTGACGGCAGACCAAACTGTGGTGATGCTTCAGATGAAGAAGGTTGTGATGACGATAAAGAAGGTAGGTGATTGTGTAATAATTTAGTCAAATGAGCACAAATCAACAAGAAAGGTAGGTTTTTGAGCAAGTAAAGCTGTATTTAAGATCACTGTGATTTGGGTTACATTATCCCATAGCAATGCATATCAATCTACTCTCTCCCCAGTCACCCCATCTAGCCATTAATCCATCATCTTGATGAATGTAGAATAGTTTGTGATAGTTTGTACCATAGTAATTTATATGGTTACATGATACTCATGTCATGTTTTTCCCTCACGATGTAGAAATATTCCTCTAATAAGCCTGACTGAGATGCTTGCTGCACCCTCTACTGGAGAAGTTGCAAAAACGAGCGAACTTTCTCTCTGTTTGTTATCATCATTCATAGATATTAGCTACCTTTTCCATTATTGCTCACCATAGTGATTGTGCGTGCTCCCCAGTGTGTTTGAATATGCAACCGTGAATACTCACTCTAGTAGTTTTATATTTGGTTATATATGGTTTTCATTGCTTGTTTTCTTAGCTTACAGTGTGCTGTTAATTTAATTTTCAAGATGCAGCATATTGGCAATAACGACATAACTATGCGTACATACATCTAGTCTTTGCATATTATTCTCTTGATCTCACTTGGTTCTCCCTACATTTGCTCTGCCTACATTGACTAGTTTCGAAACACCTGACACTGAAAAAGTCTGATAAGGTATATCACTGAGATAGCACTTGGAGTATATCAATGCATTTGCTAAATATTCTGCTGGCATGTCTTTCCCGTTTGCTGTGTTTATGTTTCCCTAATTTAGGCTTGTTTTAATATCCTATCAGCAATAGCAGGCCTTGTCACGCTGCACCGGTACTATAGGCAGTGTAAGGATGGTGCATGCATAGACCCACGCAGGAAATGTGATGGCAGGCCAGATTGCCCTGATCGCTCAGACGAGCAAAACTGTCAAGGTACTCTATAGTTGCTCATGCAAAGTTTACTGGAATGTGTTGGCATTCCGAACTTTTCATAAGTACTCTATAGAGGTAACAGTCAAATAATTAAAGTGAATCCCCGGTTTTAAAAGTATGCAAATGCGTACATTATGTTGTGCTACTGAAAAGTCAAATTTATTTGATAGCCAAATTTCAACTGTTTGGTCAGAAATGACAGTTTCCGACGAGAGCGTAGCATTGGCCAGTTAAACTAGCAAGTTTAATTAACGTGGTAATTTACACGCTATCAGTTCATAATTGAACATAGCCTCCATTATGTACCTTACTTGGCAGCATACATGTAGTTGACTTAGCAGCTAGATATACCTTTTTTGACAACATGCATATAGCACAACTCGCAGAACAAGGAATTGCAGATCAATTTAACACAAGGGTAATCTGTGTTTTTCCGCTTGGTGCGCTTTAATTCAATTGCATGACGAATGCTGCAAAGATATGTGTCAAATAAGTGTCATTCTCTCAAAATTATTCTACCCTCTCTCCTGAACCTCCAACCCAGGTTGGCTTATTCGATTACCATAATCGGTTCATAAGGTACCATGGTGAAGGCTGTGTAGAACCACGTAGGGTCTGTGATGGCACGTCAGACTGTGCAGATGACCTGATGAATGGAAATGTGGTGGTAGGAAAGCTGAGTCTCCTTTGCTCCCTTGTCCATCTATCATTGTCAGCTCTTGTCAGTGAGTCGTCTGTGTCATTGAGATAGGAGCTGGAGCCCAAAATTCGCTTGCTTCAGTATTTTCTCCTGTTAGCTGGAAGGCCCCTGTCTTATTTTATTGTAATATTTATATGCACACAGTTTAATTTGTATATAATTTGTAGGTTGTTGAATGGTTAATTTTCTGATCTTTCTTCTTTCTTGTTTTAATTTTGAAATGTTGTTTATATATGTTGAATCCAGATGTGTGGCTGCTTTCTATATGCGAAGTTTTAGAATATCATAATAGTTTTTTTATTTTTATTGAAAATATAGTGTAGAAGTGGATGTCATGCTTTTTGTTTTTTGGCAGATTGATATTATATTGGGTTATCATATTATATTATGTTTGGCCGTTGTATTGGTTAATGTAGCTGATCACACATTTATGTTATCATGTATTGTACATGCAACAGAACTGATGGATGGCTCAAATTTCTACTTCCCATTGGTAGAAATTTCATGTAATGCTTATGTGCATGAACCTTGAAGTCATCCATGCGGCTGTATATACAATTCGTGATACTTAATTAATCATTGGCTGCTGGCAAGGTATTGGGTTTATCCTAAAGGTAGATGGTCCCGTAGACCACCTTCTTGCATATGGCAGCCCATATTCCTGTGTCAGCAGCCAGCATGATTGATTACTAGTGCATGATGGAACTACTTTGTACGTCATCCATCCATTCTATCCTTCCCTCAGAACCCACCCCAGCTGCCTGTACTACTGGGTACTGGCAGTGTCATGATGGACAGTGCATAGATGCACGTAGGAAATGTGACGGCAGGCCAGACTGTGGTGATTCCTCAGATGAAGAAGGTTGTGATGATGAGGAGCAGGAGAAAGAAGGTAGGTCCCCACCCTAGCCTCTAATTAACACCACTAGTTCTTACATCGCTATTATATAAACACTTGTATGAAATGCAATGTCCATCTCATCATGCGGTTTTCACAGGTTGAGGTATAAACCATACATGTCAAGTATTAACTACACACATACCTTGTTGTTTCCTGTATGCTGTAGCGTTTTTTCGGGGATTATCGAAATTTTCTGTAAATTGCTCTTTTAATTTATGCACGTTTACTTTGTGCTATTCTTTCTTGTAGGATTGTATGAAATGTGCCAATTTTACGTTTATTATTGGCGTGTAGAAAATATATTGTGTAGAAAAAATTAGATGTTATGAGATCCATTATTTTTTCTCAGTGTATTACTCTGTTCTATGTCTGTGTAGCAATTTACGTAGAAGAAGTAGATCCTATTAGATTGAGTATTTTTTTACCAATGTTTTACTCCGTTCTTGTCTGTGGTAGCAGCACTGGTTGTTGATTCATAGTTTAAGCTCCTTTGTGGTGTGAACATTAATACATACAGTCACATCAGTAAATAAAGGTCGCTCGAGAGAAACCCTAAAATTATCCCTTGTAGACGGGTAACCATTTCACAGCACTTGGTGGTTTATCTGTATAACTGTCACTCAAATGAAATTCTAAGACAAATTTCCACTGTATAAATGTGGTTGCTAATACGCTTGCAGGTTTGACTGTATGTAATAATTGATGGTTGCACTACGTAAGTCTGTGGAATCATCCACAGTGCTACATTCTGTGATAAGGAATCAATCTTAGACTGATGTCAAGGTATTGGGTTTATCTTAAAGGTTGATGATGTCATAGAGCACCACATCCTTGGATATGACAGCCCATATTCGTGTGTCATCAATGTATGATTGATTACTAACATGAACCTATGGATATACAGTATACATAGGTTCATGTACTAGAGCCCCGGCCCCTCCACTCCGAGGTCGAAGAGACCGCATGCGTGTTCCCAAAATCTCCGGTAAAGGGGTATTTTTCGCGAGACCAAATCCGGCCCAAGAATTGTAAAAAAGGGGGTGTATTTGACTTTTCACCCGGAGATTTCTTTAAAAAGGGGGTGTTTTTCCTCTCTCTCTTTCATCTTGAATATCATAGAAAACTTTATCAAATCCCGAGATCAAATTCCTGAAATTAGTGCTAGTTTTGAAAGCTCATTCAGGATTATTTCATTTTGAAAAGTAAAAATATTGCCCCCTAGTTCCCCTCGATCACTAAACTCTTCACTACGTAGTGTAGACTGGTACCCGGTCGACAGTTCCACACGCTACACTAACGTTACTACGTCAGTGTAGTGAAGGATATGTACCGGAATGAAAGTGGCGAACGGGTACCAGTCTATACGTAGTGTGGAGTTCAGTGCCATCTATCGACTCGATAGTACAGACTTCTCGAAATCTGTGATAGAGATAACAACAGAATCTGAGATAGGGGGTACATTGAGCAGTGTTCCGGATTTAGGGGGTCTCCAAGGCAGGAAATACCCGCAAAAAGCCTGCGAAAGGGGGGTTCAGAAATTTTGGCAGCCCTGAGATAAGGGGGTGCTTTCAAAAAGAGGGAACGAGCATATGCGTACCCTAAATAACACTGAGTGGAGGGGCCGGGACTAGAGCATGGTAGAACTTTGTACGTCATCCATCCATTCTCCCCTACCCTCAGAACCCACCCCAGCTGCCTGCCCTACTGGGTACTGGCAGTGTCATGATGGACAGTGCATAGATGCACGCAGGAAATGTGACGGCAGGCCAGACTGTGGTGATGCTTCAGATGAAGAAGGTTGTGACGAGAAGGAGGAGAAAGAAGGTAGGCATATGTTTATGTATAGCCATTCAGTTCTCAGAGCGCATGTCAACGAAAAAGGTAGGTTTGGGTGCATGTTTATTAGCATAACAGTGAGGCATTTCATTCATCATATTAACAATGCATGTATACAAGCTTTTATTAATACATAGTAGTTCTAATGTTATCACTTGTCCAATTTTGTTTATACAACCATCTTTACAACCACCTTACAATCCAAGCATCCAGCCTCCCTTTAATCCATAACATCGTGTATGATAAACTCTTATATATATATAATCCAGTAATGCTATATAATATATATATATATATATATATATATATAATATAATATATGTAATATTGATAGTTTCCAATATATCATTATATATCATATCATTTGCGCAATAGAATACCGCTTCTTTGTGTTATATTTGCCGTAATGTTTCCCCCATACGCATAACCATTTTATTGATACTAATAATACGATAGTTTGCATGCAAAATAGCAGTGGTGTAGGTTTATATGCATTGGAATAATAATGACTCCAACACTAAGCAATAAACTTTTGTATATAATCTTCTAATGCAAGTTGATTGGTTCAACGTTTGTTGTTGTACACAGCAAATGAGAGACTGGGCTACTGGCAGATGAATAAAAAATCCACCCAGTATAAATAATTGCACCTTTATTCTGTCCAGTAATTAGATATACATCCTGCTGCTATGCCGTTTCCATGTCTTTTGTTTGCTATGTTTATGCCCCCTAATTTAGGCTTGTTTTAATGCCCTGTCAACAATAGCAGCTTGTCCGCGTGGGTATTGGCAGTGTAAGGATGGTGCATGCATAGACCCACGCAGGAAGTGTGATGGCAGGCCAGATTGCCCTGATCGCTCAGACGAGCAAAACTGTCAAGGTACTCTATAGTTGCTCATGCAAAGTTTCTTGGTTTGTATTGCCTTTCCAACTTTGCATAAGTACACTATAGAGATAGCAGTCAGAAAAGCAGACAGCAATTTGAAACTTTGGTTGGACAAACGTTCTATTTACTGCTGCTCAGAACTGCAGATTTCTGCATCAGTTTATTATCAATTTTGATGTTTCGACTGTTTAGTAGGATATTGTATTTTACACAGAAAAACTTCCTGCCAGATGATATATGTCTATGCAGTGAGAGCTAAAGTGAATTACTTCAAGTTACATGGCAGCTTAATTGTATGTAATTTAAATTTTAATGAGACGAATCGAGTCACCTTGCAGAAACTATTGTCCTTTCATAGCGTTATCCTCACGTAACAATGGCTGTTAACGTTGCAACCCTCCCTGATCTGATAGTATCGCAGGCAGTCATCTGGACAGAGATCATCTAGACCATCACAGGTGTTGGTCTTGTGCGTTGAAGACACATCTAATGAGCAGCAGATGAGTGACATCCCAATTATGTTTGAAATTCACAAGCAACTGCCTGACATACAGTCAACATATGTTCCAGATGCTTGCCCCAGTGGCTACATGGAGTGTTATGGTGGAGGCTGTGTGGATCCAAGTAGGATCTGTGATGGCACACCAGACTGTGCAGATGGCTCCGATGAATTGATGAACTGTGATGATAAGGAAGGTAGGTGCCTGCAGTATAGTTACTTGATGCGAGCAGTATCCATCAGAATTTAAGGTAGGTTTACATCCATGTGACATACCTGGAGTGACCCCGATGGCGGCATTATTACCCATTCATCCGTTGGGTGTTACATGGTTGTTCGTTCCATGGTTATGCGTTTCATTCATTTCCCTCGCATTGACTTCCATAACCTCCATTAATTAATTGTCCACAATTTCATGTAGATTATGCTTTCAGATTGTGCAGCATGAATATATATTTGCATGATGAGAAGTGTAATTATTAGGTTATTGATACTTGGAATATTTGCCATACGTTGGGAAATATTTCACTTATTGATTATACCTAACCTGACATGACCTGACTTGAGACACATTTTTCTCTAATATGCAGTCTCGACTCACACCTTATCCTGGTAGCTACTAAAAGAATGCCGTCATCCTCTACGTTTGTCCTTATTTCTAAACCTATCACCTTCATCCGATTTGTAACTGACATGACATGACTGTGTGACAGTATGAATAATTTTTGTAGGTTCATCTAGAAATTGCGATCAGATAGTTGTAGTGACAGTGCTTTTCAAGCAGCTGTGGAATGCGTGTAGTGGTGCTTAAGCATTAACCTAGCGTGCATGTGATTGTTCCCCACTCACAGAGCGACCCGAGCCAGATACGAATCTCTGTCGTGACTCTACTCCACTGATAGACCCAGTAACCAGGCAGCCTACGACTTGCTCCTCTAGGAACCCGTGTCCCAGTGGGTACACGTGTAACACTGACAGGCAGGACGCGCCTGCTGTCTGCTGCCGCGCTGCTGGTACCAATTTATTTTTCGTTTATCCAACATGTTTGTTTTTTGTATGGTTTTTCTTCTGCCACGATCTAAGTTTTCGGGGGCTGGTCTGAGGACGCACCAGGCAACCTGGCAGGATCCTGTGTATTGGTAACGAAGGTGTTTTGTGCTTATCCACGCCAGTTGACGGTCTCTTTTCTATTCACATGCGGGACCTGTGAGGTCTCTACATTATCACCCTGATAAAGCTCCCCACCGCATGTCTGCCTGGCCATTTCTCTCTTGTTTCACCTTAAGCTATCTGTATGCCTGTCTCTCGCTCTCTCTGCGGGTCTGCCTCTCTTTCTTCTCGACGTTGTCACTTTCTTTCCATCATTTATCCCAAGTCGTATCTTTCCCTCTGCTTCAATCTCGCTCTCTCTCTCCGTTGCGTGCGTCTGCTCTGCGGTCGCTCTCGTCCTGCTCCTCGTGCTGCTCTGCTGTCTCTCCTGCTCGTCGTGCGTGCTTCGGTCGTGGTTTGGCTGCTGCTGGTCTCGGTGCGCTCGGGTTGTGGTCTGCTGGCTCTCTCTCTCTCTCTCTCCTCTCTCTCTCTCTCTCTCTCTCTCTCTCTCTCTCTCTCTCTCTCTCTCTCTCTCGCTCTCGCTCTCTCTTTGTCGCACTATGTCTATCTATCCATGTGCTTGGAAGTGGTTAGGTGACAATGCTGATGCAGAGTTATGTGAATGGTGAACGCGCTCTCGCATGGGAGAATAGGTGTCGGTCTCGCTGTTACGTTGGCCTACTCATTTTGCGGACTGGGTCCAGGTCCTGATGGTAATGAGCTGACGTGCCCGCGGGGCTTCTTCCGCTGCGGTGACGGCATACAGTGCGTCGATCCCCGCCGACTGTGCGATGGCAGAAAAGACTGCAACGACGGGTCCGACGAGAGAGAGAACTGTGACGGCAAAGAAGGTAGGCCGGAGAAATTTGTGCTGCAATATTCGAGTGCTGCATCTCGTCTTCGGCTAGGATATGTTGGTGGCTGGTATCTGTTGGTGGCTGGTATATGTAGGTGGCTGGTATATGTTGGTGGCTGGGTCTGTTGGTCTTGCACTGGTCGCAGGCTGCGAAAGCCTTCGCTGCTGTTGGTCCGATGTCCTTTTGCTTCATTCCACTGTGTACTAACGTTCACGTTGTTGTGGGACGACTGCGTGTCTGCTTGACTAATCTCGTCCTTTGCAAGTAGCTTTACGATGTTATGATGTCATGTCAGTATGCGGTGCTCGATCGTCTTCTCTTGTGTTAAACGCAAGGTTAGGTCGGCATACATGTACTGAATCAGCTAGCTTTATTAATGCGTAGCGGAAGGTGCGGGTGCTTGTCTGTGTTGGTGCGTCATTATGTGTGCTTGCCTCAATGCGTGATGGGAAGATAACTACTGCCTATCAATGTTGAAGAGAGAATAAAGCTGCCATGTTGGTGCATTGTTGCGATTGCTAGCTTCTATATATGGTACGGTGCGACGACAACTGCGGGTGTTTGTCTTGCTGCATCACTGCTGGTGATCCCTCAGCAAATGCGCATGACGATCGGTTTGCCTTTAATCGGCACCTAACCAGTGTGTTTACGTGTGGCGCTGCACTGTCTTCTGTTCGTTGTCCAGTGGCTTGCACTGTTCGGGGTCTATCGTCGTTATGTCTTCATGCACTGGTTACTCACAACGTTTACCTGTTGTCTGTGCACTGCGGTGTCATCTGTTTATTGGTGGAGGATTGCTGGGGAAGGCTCGCGCATGGAAGTGTAAAGCTGTGGATAGCCTTATAAGGATATATTTGCGGCATTAGTGTAATATGTTAAGGATAGTTGCATTCAGTACTATAATTTTATATTACTTTGTTACATCCAAGAATGTTTTTGACATGATGTCAAAGACATCGCCGAAAGTATAAGCTTAAAAAACATGGCCTTATATTTATTACTTTTATTTTGGTACCTCAGAGGTACGAGCTTGTCCTTCCGGGTACTGGCAATGTGAAGATGGAAATTGCATAGACCCACGCAGGAAGTGTGATGGCAGGCCAGACTGCCCTGATGGCTCAGACGAGAAAAACTGTCAAGAAGGTACTCTATAGATGCACATGGAAGATTTCCTATATTCTCTTCTAGGACGAATCGTTCATAAGTGAACTATAGTGATCACAATCATAATCATTTTATGTTAGATCAGCAAGTATTTGTACACCGATTTTCTTAGACTCGATCAGTTATTCATATAAACCATCACGAAGTTGTTGTTGATTTCATATGTCTGAGTTAAAATGCACACGAAGACTTGCGTAAAGCACTAACGTATTCGCCAAGATAAGCCGAAATGGATTGGGAAATAGTGTGAGCAAATTGTGGTCAATAATGTCAAGCAATTCTTGACTTGCTCACAGAGCGACCCGAGCCAGATAGCAATCTCTGTCGTGACTCCACTCCACTGATAGACCCAGTAACCAGGCAGCCTACGACTTGCTCCTCTAGGAACCCGTGTCCCAGTGGGTACACGTGTAACACTGACAGGCAGGACGCGCCTGCTGTCTGCTGCCGCGCTGCTGGTACGAGACATCTTCCTATGTTCAGTTCTCTGCTGATCAGAATCGCTTCTTATATTTTCCTCTCTTCTCTGTTTCTGTGCCATACAATGTTGCATATTGTCTGTGTGACTTGGCATGTAACGTTTATTCTATTTAAATTTTCTTACTATTTCTATTTTTTCCTCTATATCTTTGTGTGGTAATCCCAAAACCCGAGTAACTGTGAGTACTAGTAGTTTTGACAAATGTTGCAATGGATTTCGGCTGTCACTGGTGTTGTTGACTTTTTCGACGGTTTTTGGTGGTAGCTATACTTTGGGTTTCTCTACATGTCATGGATTTTAAGAAGGAAAAATGCTGCTCAAAATGTGCAAACATGAGTGGGATCAATTTGAACAAAGTTAATTGTAAATACTTGAATCTTAATCCAAGGACTGTTGCGCCAGGTCATTCTGAGTAACTAGGGTTTGTAGAAATGTATTCTCAGGCATGTTAGATGTCTAGCTAGTACACACACACACGTGAAAGTCTGTGCCACTTAGTGCCTGTTGCTCATGGATCCACGTTCTGAGTTGAGAGATACTCAAGGGCAACTAGATTTGGCTTCAACACAAATGCTTGTGGAGAAGGAAATCTTATTTTCAGAATTGTCATCATTCATGAATGCTCTTGTGTTAATGGTAGTTGATGAGGTCTGATTTGCGTAGAAAGCAAGAGTTTGTTTAAACAGTGTGTTTGTGTGTGCGTGAGTACGTATATGTGTGTGTGTGTGTGTGCGTGCATGTGTTAGTAGGGCGTCTATATTTCACTTGCATGCCACGTTTGTGGTTGTGTGTTTGCCGAAAATAACAAAATGCCTGCCAAAGCAATTTGGTCTTGCATTTTGTCTGTTTTCTATTCTTTTGTTATTTAGTTTCTCCAAGCTTATTTACCTAGTTTAGCCCTAATTTTAGTCAGTTTTTGGTGGCCTAGCAGTAGCAGCTTGTCCGCGTGGGTACTGGCAGTGTAAGGATGGTGCATGCATAGACCCACGCAGGAAATGTGATGGCAGGCCAGATTGCCCTGATCGCTCAGACGAGAAAAACTGCCGAGAAGGTACTCATATAGTTCCTCATGCAAAGTGTTTTATTACACGTATTGCAATAACTCCCTCTTCACAATTCTGCACGTTATGTGCTACGTAGCTTATAGGTAACACAACTATTGACCTTCGCATAATAGCTTTTTGTATTGTCACCTCCTCCGGTAGTGAACTCTGCATGTGATAAATAAAGGTTTGGAACAGCTGTAGTAACTTACATGTACATATAGCTTCAAATTTGTGTGGATTCGCAGCCACAGCTTTAGCCATTAATCTAATTTGCATCGAAAGTGGACACATATTTCCTATAAAATATGACACACCCACACGTCACGTAGTTTGTAATTGCTTTCACTGCTAGTTTGCCAATCCGTACGCAACACCATGAGACGTTATACAGTTGGAAGCACATCCCAAGCATTGTATGAACATATTACTAGACTAGACAATTTTTTTTACCATTTTTTGATCTTGAGGTAGGTCATAATATTCAGCTCGTTTTACTAATAGATGTAGATGAACCATCCGCTTGTCCCTCTGGTTACTGGCAATGTGAAGAGGGAAATTGCATAGACCCGCGCAGGAAGTGTGATGGCAGGCCAGACTGCCCTGATGGCTCAGACGAGAAAAACTGTCAAGAAGGTACTCTATAGATGCTCATGCAAAGTTTTCTTTATAGCTTATTGTAAACCAAACTTTATATGAGCACACTATAGAGATCTCGGGGCCTAATACTCATTTGATATATCTTTAGATGTTGGAAAAAACATAAAAACGGGAGGGGAAACATTTGCCGTGTGTCTGGTATAAATCCATAATGGTCATGTTTGTCTGAACATGTTCTTAGAACTAGATTGGTTTGTACTCACTGTTGGATGTTTCACAGACGAGAGAGAAAGAGTTGTTTACTCTTTCTTTTATAGCAGTTTGTGTACTAAACTTGTTTGTTTTAATGTAAATTATGCCATTTTCAACATTCGTTAATGATATGGTTACCTCTCCCTCCCCCAGATTGCGTAACAAGTTGATGGTTCTTTCAGCGCATATAATGCACGTCTGCATGTGGACATCTAAAATGTCTCGATCTTTGTTTTAAATTTTTTTTTTTTTTTAACTTATTTGAAAGTGTGGTGCATTTTATAGCTAATAGTAAGCTCATTTTGCTATTAGATGTTGAGCCACCCTCTTGTCCTTCCGGTTACTGGCAATGTGAAGATGGAAAATGCATAGACCCGCGCAGGAAGTGTGATGGCAGGCCAGACTGCCCTGATGGCTCAGACGAGCAAAACTGTCAAGAAGGTACTCTATAGATGCTCATGCAAAGTTTTCTAGATTTTTGTCTAGAATGCACTTTGCATAAGTACTCTATAGAGATTGAGGTTGACTAAATTCTCGATGCACAAAGTGTGGGAATAATAATCACGTAGTTGCTCTCACGGCATCAAGCGTTCGCACGGAGCATCTGTTCAAATACTTCTGCTTTCGCCACTCACAGAGCGACCCGAGCCGGACAGCAATCCCTGTCATGATTCCACTCCACTGATAGACCCAGTAACCAGGCAGCCTACGACTTGCTCCTCTAGGAACCCGTGTCCCAGTGGGTACACGTGTAACACTGACAGGCAGGATGCGCCTGCTGTCTGCTGCCGCGCTGCTGGTACGAGATGCATATCTCTCCACGGTTTTCTCATAGTTTTTGATTTCCACGTGTGCAGGTAGCGACAATAACTATCCATTAGTTTGTGGACCTTGTAACCTACATCCAGAATTGCAATCGTTCTTCCCACACCATCCGTTCAGTTCACTATGGTCGACAATAGCTACACTCGCATTAAAAAGTGAACAGCATCTATGTTCCCCGCAGTTTTTGAGTGATTTAGTTAGTGAGTGAGCCTGCAGAGTTATCATTTATTTTCATGATAATAGTGGAATTATAGCTCCGTCCAAACCATAGACAAAATGATAATAATATAGAAATGACATTTCTAATTTCCTCATGTTGACTTGATGTTGACTCACGCTACCAGATGTTGTGAATATTATTGACTGGATATCGAAATGCGATATTTTTGTGGCATAATATCTTGGAAATATTAACTACGGTTTGTCAATAACCTTGCTATACATTCCATTTGCATCTCAGCACCTGCTTGTTGTTGCTGTGCTCCTCTCCTCTAATTTGAGGTTATTTTAATATAACAGTAGCAGCTTGCCCGCGTGGGTATTGGCAGTGTAAGGATGGTGCATGCATAGACCCACGCAGGAAATGTGATGGCAGGCCAGATTGCCCTGATCGCTCAGACGAGCAAAACTGTCAAGGTACTCTATAGTGGCTCATGTGTAAAGTTTACTGAATTGTCTAGCAATTCTAACTTTGCATGAGCACACTATAGAGATAGCAACCAGCGGTGATAAAAGTGATGAGCTAACGAAACATCTTTTTCAAAGGTTACATATTGTGCCTGCAAGATACACGGAATTTCAATTTACAAAGCCTTAAAATTAACTCGTCTACAAAACCACATTTATTCTCACGTTACAAGTAATATAAAAACACCTATAGTTATACCTAATATTTCGTAGTCTCCATCCCATGCATCCACCATATTTATAACGCTGTTAGGTGGGTATAATTATTTTTAGGTAGAGTCATTGTTATGCCATCATGTGTCGTTTTTACTACGTTAACCGTCTATATTGCATGCTTTCAGATGTACATATGTGAATTCTGCTGTAATAGCAGATTACAATTTTACATCTAATTTGTTGTTGGGCATGCGTATCTGTTAGTGCATCATAGAAAAATCTTTATCCTACCCTCAGAACCCACCCCAGCTGCCTGCCCTACTGGGTACTGGCAGTGTCATGATGGACAGTGCATAGATTCACGCAGGAAATGTGACGGCAGACCAGATTGTGGTGATTCCTCAGATGAAGAGGGTTGTGATGATGGAGAGGCAACCGAAGGTAGGTCCCCAGTGTAGGAGGATATATTTGCAGAGAAAAATTAATGACACTCTCGATTTACTGCAGTCTGAAAAAACCACACATAGGAAGTATTTTCCTAGTTTAGAGTGAAGCCTTGAACATTCCACTTTCACACGCACAGCCATGTCAGTCCACAGCTCCTCACCACGTTCTGTAGTGGATAGGTGAAGTTATGTACTAGATGAGTATCTTTCATAGTAGTTGTTACATGGACAACTGCACTACCAATGTCGTGGCAAGGTTGTCATTGTGCTTTAGCAGGAGAATATGATAGACATTCCTATCTGCATATCATAGTCATTTGATGTTATGTGTGTGCATACACGTAGACAAACACACATACATATATTTATATATACTGTAACTGGAATCCATGATTAAATATTATTAATACTTAATCATGTACTCCTGACTATAATATTTAATCGATCATTGACTGATGTCAAGATATTGGGTTTATCCTAAAGGTTGATGATGTCATAGAGCACCACATCCTTGGATATGACAGTCCATATTCCTGTGTCTGCAGTGTATGATTGATTACTAACATGAACCTATGGATATACAATATACATAGGTTTATGTGGTAGAACGTGGTAGAACTTTGTACGTCATCCATTCATTCTCCCCTACCCTCAGCACCCACCCCAGCTTCCTGCCCTACTGGGTACTGGCAGTGTCATGATGGAGAGTGCATAGATGCACGCAGGAAATGTGACGACAGACCAGACTGTGGTGATTCCTCAGATGAAGAAGGTTGTGATGATGAGGAGGAAGGTAGGTGAAAGCATAGGGTTTCAGATTTTGTTGAACTGGTTGTTTCCGAAGCATATATCTTTACCACTGCACTGCATGTCAGTACCTAAGATGGTGGTGGTGGCAGTATGTGTGTGTGTGGGAGGGGGTTGTCCCTAAATTTTCAATCCAGTGCCACTACACGCAGAAACACCCATGTACGAGGCTTCAATACTGAATGTAAGATATTCATTTACCTGGTCGTCATTGGAAAGCCGTAGCCTAACCATGATAAAATTGCAATGTTGTAGTAGCTCGCATCGTTTCGTTTGCTGCACACAACAATGATTGCAACTCAGCAGTATCATTCTAGAGGATGAAGAAAAAGGGAAAGGGATATGAGTACAGGGAGAAAGAGAGAGAGAGAGAGAGAGAGAGAGAGAGAGAGAGAGAGAGAGAGAGAGGAGAGAGAGAGAAGAAGAGAGAGAGAGAGAGAGAGAGAGAGAGAGAGGAGGAGAGAGAGAGAGAGAGAGAGAGA